ATATATATATATATATATATATATAAATGGAGCGTGAAATCGATAGGTGGATAGGTGCAGCATCGACAGTGAAGCGGGCTCTGTACCGGTCTGTCGTGGTGAAGAGAGAGCTGAGTCAAAAGGTGAAGCTCTCAATTTACCGGTCGATCTACGTTCCTACCCTCATCTATGGTCATGAGCTTTGGGTTGTGACCGAAAGAACAAGATCACGGATACAGGCGGCCGAAATTAGTTTTCTCCGCAGGTTGTCTGGGCTCTCCCTTAGAGATAGGGTGAGAAGCTCGGTCGTCCGGGAGGGACTCAGAGTAGAGACGCTGCTTCTCCAAATCGAGAGGAGCCAGTTGAAGTGGCTCGGGCATCTGTTTAGGATGCCTCCTGGATGCCTCCCTGCTTAGGTGTTCCGGACACGTCCCACTGGGAGGAGACCCAGAGGAAGACTCGGGACACGCTGGAGGGTTTCTCGGCTGGCCTGGGAACGCCTTGGGATTCCCCCAGAGGAGCTGGCCCAAGTGGCTGGGGAGAGGGAAGTCTGGGCCTCCCTACTAAAGCTGCTACCCCCGCGACCCGACCCTGGATAAGCGGAAGAAAATGGATAGATGTTTGGATGGATGGATATATATATATATATATATATATATATATATATATTTGACAAATCATTAATGAAAATGCTGAATCATATCAGCATTATATTATGTCATTTGGTGGTGAGAGCCCAACAGTCTTTTATTTGACAATTGGCAGCAGTTTCCTCTGTTTAGTAAGCTTGTTACAATGTTACAAAAGAATCAAAATCACTTCTTCCACAGAAACTTAGAAAATTAGATTGAAAGCAAAACAACTGCTTTGCACAAACTGATTAACAAACTCACGTAAATGTTACTGCAGAGCGGGACTTTGTCAATTATTTACAAAGGCAGAAATAATTTAGCAAAATTGGTCAGTTTAAGACCTAGTTGGAGAAAAAGTGTCCTCAAACTGAGGTACGTTTCCCTGGTAGGTTCCTTCTTTTGGTTCTCAGATGTATTTAGTGACTTAAATAACTAGCTTGTAATGGTCATGTTAAACTGTGATGTAAAACAAACAAAAAATAAATAAACAGCACCTGACATAAAGACGAGTGGTTCAAGCATTTTACAATCGTGGTTCCAAATGGAAACTACTCCAAACAAAAGTGCAAAAGGAGAATATTGCAGGAACTCCAGTGAAAACTGGAGTGGACATCTGTGAACTGGTACAGTGGCACCAGTGTCTCGGTAAGATCTGTTAGCCAGAAAATATGTGGAACTATGAGGAAATTTGATTCAACTTCTACTCAGTTTTGTGGCAGAGAACAAGCCAAAACTGTGGTGTCCTTCTCAACAGTTTTTTTCTTCATTTTCTTTAACCTTTATTTATACAGTTAAGTTTCACTGAGTCACAAGGACTCATTTACAAGAGAGACCTGATTTAGACAGAAAACATATAAAGTACAGACAACAATATACAACAATAAAAAGCAATTAAAATAAAAAAAAAAGTTATAAAAACACTGTTACTGTTAGCAGTATGGTCCTGTTAACAGAGTGGGGCTGTTAGCAGCATGGTTCTGTTAGCAGGATGGTCCTGTTACATGGTACTGTTAGCAGCATGGTACCATTAGCAGTGTTTCTGTTAGCAGTGAGGTTCTGTTAGCAGTGAGCAGCATGGTCCTGTTAGCAGCATGGTACTGTTAGCAGTGAGGTGAGGTGCTATTTTCTGGAAAACAACATACCCTTTCACTTCGACGCCGATTACTGTCAAATTTACTTCCCCCTAAGACACAATGGTACATGCTCTATTCAACCGCTGCTCGACTGCCTGGCTGACATCAGGGACTGGATGGCTTTAAATTTCTTAAGTTTCAATGAAAAGAAGTCTGAAGTCATGTTGTTCCCTCCCAATGACACGATCACAAACCACTGCATCGACCTTTCCACTCTAACCCTGTCAGTAAAACAGAGAGTCACAAATCTGGGAGTGATAATGGACCCTTCCCTGAAACTTAACAATCATGTAAACATGATTGTTAAATCATGTTTCTTCCAACTGAGGCGGCTGTCTAAACTGAAGCCCATATTGTTCCAAAAATAACCTGGAGACAGTAATACATGCATTCATTACATCTAGGCTTGATCACTGCAATTCACTCCTGTTTGGTATCATTCACACCTCCATTGCATGACTACAATTTGTCCAGAATGCAGCAGCCCGATTTTTAACCAGTACAGGCAAAAGAGAGCACATTACACCAGTTTTGGCCTCACTGCACTGGCTACCGGTTCACCTTCGAATCCAGTTCACAATACTCCTGTATGTCTACAAATCACTGAACAGTTTCACCCCCGCTATCTCTCTGATCTGCTACAGCCATATGTCCCACCACGTTCCCTGAGGTCAGCGGACCAGTTGCTCCTCACAGTTCCAGGAACTCGTCTTAAGTGCAGAGGTGACAGGGCCTTCTCTGTAGCAGGACCAAGACTTTGGAACGAGTTACCTCTGCTTGTCAGACAGGCCCCCTCCCTCTCAGTTTTCAAATCCTGTTTAAAAACCCACTACTATTCAGTAGTTTTCAACACCAGATGATCTGTGTTTTGAACCTGTATGCTCCACACTGGTTTGTCGTCATATTTATTATCTGCATCATTTTTATTTCTATATTCTGATTTACTTCATTTTGTATATTGCTTCGTGTGTTGTCTGTTTTTCTGTCTGTACAGCACTTTGGTTGGCCTTGTCGCTGTTTTAAGTGCTCTATAAATAAAATGGTATGGTATGGTATGGTATGGTATGGTTCTGTTAGCAGAATGGTCCTGTTAGCAGTGAGCAGCATGGTACTGTTAGCAGAATGGTCCTGTTAACAGTGAGCAGCATGGAATCGGGCGGCTGTGTCTGAGTGGTTAGAGCAGTCGTCCTCCAATGCGAGAATTGGGTGTTCGAATCCACCAGCAGTCACATGCCGAAGTGTCCCTGGGCAAGACACTGAACCCCTCATAGCCTCTGATGTGTGTCCCATCAGTGTATGAATGTGAGCTAAAGCATTGATTAGTCTCATTAGAATGATTTGTTCAATTAGCTTTGTAGAGATCTAATAGAGTGCTGTATGAATGGGTAAATGAGGACACAGATTGTAGTGTAAAACGCTTTGAGTATCTTGAAATAAGATAGAAAGGCGCTAAATAAGTACAGTCCATTTACCATTTACCATTTACTGTTAACAGTGAGGTTCTGTTAGCAGTGAGCAGCATTAGCAGTGTGTTTCTGTTATCATTGTGGTCCTGTTAGCAGTGTGGGCCTACTAGCAGCATGGTTCTGTTAGCAGCATGGTTCTGTTAGCAACATGGTCCCATTAGCAGTGTGTTTCTGTTATCACTGTGGTCCTGTTAGCAGTGTGGTTCTGATAGCAGTGTGGCCCTATTAGCAGCATGGTACTATTAGCAGTGTGGTTCTGTTAGCAGCGTGGTCTTGTTTGCAGCATGGTACTGCTAGCAGTGTGGCTCTGTTAGCAGCATGGTCCCATCAGCAATATGGTACTGCTAGCAGTATGGTTTTGCTAGCAGCGTGATCCTGTTAGCAGTGCAGTCCCGTTAACCGCATGATGATAATAACGACCGTGGCAACGGACAATGACTGCCCTCCAGAATCGGGTCCAGCAGACACAGAAAATTCAAAGTTCCCCACGGAACTGAACGGTTCAATAGAGTTCAGTCCGTGCAGGCAGATGGAGGATCATGGAGACGGCTGCCAGCCTGAGCCCGAGGCTAAAAGGGGCCTGGAGAGTGGGGTTCTGGTGGAACAAATCAAGCTGTAGATGGACCGTGTAGGTCTCAGCAAATTGCTGGTGGACTGGAGCAACTTGGAGTGTGGTGATTTGTATTGAAACATACTGCCAGACCCGTGCACCGTGCCACCCTCTGCGGCTCATGACCTTGCTGTCATTTTTGGCAGTGTATAGCAGTGGAAGCATAAAACCATCACATCAGGATACCAGGATAACCAGGATAGGGTTATAGGTTTAGTCGGTTTGCTTGTTCGTCAGATATGAATACAATATACAGCATACAGTACTGATCTTTAATGTTAGCCATACTGAAGCTAATTGTAGAGCTAAAATAATTTTCTCACTTTGCAGCGACTGTAGGTGACTAGTTGGTAAATAACATTTGCAAGGGAGCCTCCAAAATATCTTAAAACATTTGCAGGAGATCTTAGGTTCTGTACATTAGAAGCAGATACTCACAGTTCTGCCACTTGATTTTTGAACATGTTCAATAAATAGTTTTTCTGTGAGAAATGTCTTTAAAAAGTTGCTAAGTTGTTTTGGGCATCTCAAACCTTTTTCAGTTTGATTTACTATGAATCCAAGAGCTGCAATACATTTTTAACACCTACATAGCAGCTCTCCAACAGCAGAAAGTATTTGATTAAATAGCCCTGAATGCTCGTGTTAAAAATCACTCTGATGATAAATAATAAAAACTGGACCAAATCTGCCTATCTTCAGCTCAACAGTGTTCTTCAGCAAAATAAATCATAAACATGAGGCTGACTGCAGAGGTGGTACATTGTGGGCATAAAAAACATTGTATATCCCAGAACACAGTCTTGCAAGACATGCCCATGGAAATAAGCCAAACAATTCAACATTTTTTTACTCTTTTCTGGTCGAGGGTGAGGTTCTGCCTCAAGTGGAGGGGTTCAAGTATCTCAGGGTTTTATTTACGAATGCAGGAAGAATGTAGCATGAGATTGACAGACGGATTGGTGCAGCATCTGCAGTATTGCGGACTCTGTGCCAGTCCGTTGTGGTGAAGAGTGAGCTGAGCTATAAGACGAAGCTTTCTGTTTACCGGTCGGTCTATATTCCTACCCTCACTTACTCAGTCACAAATTCTGGCTAATGACTGAAAGAATGAGATCATGGGTTCACTACACAGGTGGCTGAAATGAGTTTCCTCTGCAGGGTAGCTGGACTCTCCCTTAGAGATAGGGTGAGAAGTTCAGTTATCCAGGAGAGACTCGGAGTGTAATCGCTGCTCCTCCACATCGAGGGGAGCCAGTTGAGGTGGTTTGGACATCGGGTAAGGATTCTCCCTGGGTGTGTCCCTAAGGAGGTGCTTCGGGCATCTCTGACTGAGGAGCGACCCTGGGGAAGACCCAGGAAATGCTGGAGAGACTATGTATCTTGGTTAGCCTGGCAACACCTTGGAGTCCTCCCAGAAGAGCTGGAAGAGGATGGATGGATGGATGGACGGACAGACGGGTGGACGGACAGATTGATGGATGGACGGATGGACAAATGGATGGACAGACAGATGGATGGAATTCAAAAACTGGTTGTGCTAAATGTGTCTGTACATCTCGCTGGTCACTTGGTCACATACAGAGTTCAGTGAGACTGCAACAGAAATTTTGGCTATTTTCTCACGCATTAGAGCTGCCAACTTGTCTCCAATGGTCTCAGCCCAGTTATTACCATTAATATTTTCTGAGGTGGTGCTTGACATAAATGTTTGAGAACCACTGCTATAATTGACTATATGGCTAGATTTTGTGTTATTGTGCCTTCTACATGGTTTATATTTCTGGAAGGCCATTTTACAGGATCTTCCAATACTATCCACTTTTGTCTGTTTCTTTAGAGAAGTGTAATGGGAACAAACATTCTTACCTGTGAGAGGAGGGGTGGTGCCGTGCTCTCAAATGGAGGGTAAAGTGATGAGAGTGCCCCCTGCACACAGTCCTCCATCGCCTCCGAGCTCTAAGAGACGAAGACGATAAAGAAGGTTGAAATCATAACCGGACACTGGATCAGCTCTCATGTCTGTGTCTGTATCCAACAGCTGAGTTGCCTCACTTGTTGCTGACACCCACACACACAAATACATACAACACTTTCAACTTCCTGTTTTATAGTCTGGGGAGTGTCAAACATTTCCTCCGAGGGCCGGCAACGGAGTGAGGCCACAGGACAAAAGTGTGTGTTATCTCCTTAATTTACAGCTGCACACACATACACATATCAGAACACTGAGCAGGCCTGAGAGGTGGAGGGTGACAGGGCAGAGCATGCAGCTTATAGTGTTTATTTTTCTACTTGGCCTGTTGGCATGGCAACCAGGAACTTTCCCCTCCTCCTCCCTTCACATTTCTCCCTTTAGACCTTACATCTGTTTCTGTTGGTATCATTCTCATCCCTGCCCTCTTATTAAAAACAACCTTTGTCTGCTGTGTTGCTCCTTCACAGAATCTTCTGAATGTCATATGACAACAATTACATCTGGATTCTCAGCACATTGAGCTGGATGATTACAGCAATCGAGGGGATAGACTGAAAGCAGTCAGTTGAGGAGTGTATGGAAAGAGAGCTGCTAGCCAGGAATGAATGAGCTGGAGGTGATGTTTGGGGGTTTAATGGTGGAAGAACTTTTTGGTGTTTATTTTTGTGTACTCTGTAGAGAGGAGCTGGGGTTAGCCACAGTGCAGGACAGAAGGAACATTACAAACAGGAACGTATTTGGGACAAGCTTCTGTTGTTATGTGGCTTAACCGTTGAGTCCAACATTCGACCAATATGCCCCAACAAGATCTAACAGCTCAGGTTTCCAAAGTTGAGTTCAGACAAATGTCATGTTCTGTTTCCAAATGTTTTGAACTGAAATCTGCATCTTAGAAACAAGACACCCCTTCAGACACAGGAAGCAAAACCAAGAAAGTAGTTGGATTTGAAAACCAGAGGAGAGAAAATCTACATTCTTCAATATTTTGGACCATTTTTGCTGATGTTGCTCACTGAGTCATCAGTAACAATTAGCTATTTTTTCTACCTACCGTCTTGGCTAAAAAATAAATGCGGACAGAGGTTTTGTGCTTGGCTTTTGGGTTGGAAAACGCCAAACAAGGTAACTTACATAAATGTTCCTGGACTAAACAGCGTGTACAGCAGCCAGATGTTGTTGGTTTGGCTTCAGTAAAGAGAACTGCTCTTAACCAAAGTGGGAAGCCTAAACCCTAACTTTAGTCTAATTTGGTGCTTAAAAAGTTTTCTTTTTATTGCCCATCTTTCATGGGGGACAGTGTATATTTGTTTGTCTGTTTTGCAAAACAAACAAACAAAAAAAAAACTTCTGACCCACTGCATAGATTTTATTGAAAGTTTTAGAAATTAATTCATGCACATTTGCTACTCATTAACATCAGCCCACCTGATTCAAAAAGGTCACCACATCATAAAAAATGACTATAACTCAGCAAAATGTACAAATATTGATCTTAAACTGTATCACAGACATCTACATCTCCAGATGCAGGAAGAGGACCACCTGCATCATGAAGGACTCCACTCACCCAGCACACACACTTTTTGCCCCGCTCCCCACAGGAAGGAGGTTGAGGAGCATTAAGTGTAGAACCACTAGACTGAGGAACAGCTTCTACCCTGAGGCTGTTAGACTCATGGATCTCTAACCAGAATAATCACTGTGATGCCACTTTAATTGGTGATATATGACTTATCTGTGCTGCTGCTGATCTCATGCTGCTGATCTCATACTGCTGTATTCATACCCATCTGCTCACCACAGACTCATGTTTGGGCTGCTGTTTAATATACCATATTATTTTACATTATTAGTGTTTAGCGTATTGTTTAGTGTTTGTTTGTCATGTATATCTTAGATCCTTGTAAACTGTTTCTGTTATACACCCCAACATTTTTCAGTCAGGTCATCTGGACAGTTTCTTTTTTTGTGCTGAAATGTTTCGCCTTCGATCCAAAAGGCTTCATCAGCCAAGGAAACACACAACACAAATGATTCTTACCCCAACAGCTTACTCCAAAATGGAACAAATCAGTTTTGTTGTGTGTTTCCTTGACTGATGAAGTCTTCCGGATCGAAGACGAAACATTTCAGCACAAAAAAAGAAACTGTCCAGATGACTTGACTGAAAAATGGTGGACTGTATACCTGGATTATTGAGCATGGACTTTGTTATTTCTATTACACTTAATATTTTTGCTATTTTTGGGTGTAACTGAGACCTTGTGTACACAATTTCGTTCCACCTTATGTACCACATGTGATGTTCATGAATGACAATAAAGAACGTTGAATTTAAACTTGAAAGTAATCATCGGGTGTATCTACAAATGATTCATTTTTGTTGTCAACCTGATTCAACATGGCTGCCACAGCTGATCATCTTTAGCAAACACGGAACTGTTATAACATGGTCAGTTTTACAGATATTGAGCTAAAACTTGGTGTGGTAGTAGCAGTCTTTCCCATTGCATACTCCAGAATAATATGTTTGTTTCAAACTTTGCCATGCAATGAACCAAGCAATGTGCATTCTTTCAAGAAGCTCTTGTTTAAGTAAAATAAATAATTAAATAACCATGGTCAATAACAGTCTGTTAGAAGACACACAATCTGCAGAGGCAGTAAAATAGACTCACACAGCCTCTGACTCACTGACAAAATGTACTGAGTCCAGTAAAAACACAGTGAGGGAGATCACAGAGCATGCCAGTAGGAACTTCCTCTTTAAATAAAACTTCTTAAAGCATCCCAAAAAGCTTGAGCTAATTCTGCAATTACTTAAGACCATGACAGTGAACCCTTTCTGATGCATTTGCATGCTGTTGTTTTTGACACATTTCTTAAAGGTACAATTGTTTTTGTACCAACAGAAAGTTTGTACCTTGTTGTGTTTTGTGCAGAGCTTCTGTAGCTAAGCCTCTCAGACAAACTGGCAGCTCTACAGCTTGACTCCACCCTGGTCTGTAGAGCCAGTTTGTAGTGTGTGCCAGCTGGACAGATGACTAAAGAGCACAAAGTGCCAATCACAGAGTCATTACACAAATGCTGGTTTCAAATGGCCAGATTTAGTTGGACGCAACAAACATCTTGTTTGTGAAGAAACTACTAGTCTAGGTGCACTCATCGCAAGTGACTTTGTGACAAAAAACACCAAATCTGAAAAATTATTTTTCAGTTTAGATCCAATGTGGGTGGCACAGTGGCTCAGTTAGTAGAGCTTCTGCTTCTCAGTGAGAAGGTTGCCAGTTCAAATCCCAGCTGGGGACCTTTCTGCAGGAGTTTGCATGTTCTCTCTGTGCATGCGCGAGTGTCCTCCAGGTTCTCCAGTTTCCTCCCACAGACCAAAAACATGCATGTTAGACTGATTAGTAACTCTAAATTGTCTCTAGTTGTGAGTGAGAGAGTGAATGGTTGTTTGTCTTGTGTGTCTCTATGTGTCCCTGTGATGGACTGGAGACCTGTCCAGGGTGTACCCTGGCTCTCGCACAGTGATAGCTGGATATGGAAACCAGTGACTCCCATGACACGAAAAGGAAGAAGCGCGTTAAGATAATGGATGGATGGATGGATGGATGGATCCAATGTGTATCACAATTTCCCCATTTGTTTCAAACATATTAAAGGAAGTATCTCTGGGATAGTTGACTATAAGCTGGAGACTCAAATCTTCAAGGAAAAAAAGCTAATTTTCTGTGGCAGTCCCTCTAAAATTGTGTCTACAGCACCTTTGTAACGTGTACTCTGTGTCAAGCGTTTACCTAAACAATGTGGAAATGTCTGGCGACATTTCTGCAGTTGCGATTGTTGCTCAGTCATCACACATATTTCTCATCACGAGTATCTTGCAGCAGTGGTGCAACAGTTTTTTGCATGGCAGTTGAGAAATCTGGGAGCTGTGCTCTGGCAGAACATGTTGGTGGGATTGTCAGACAAGTCTTCAAACACATTCAGACTCTTAGACTTCCATATGTATTGGAATTTTACAGGTGCATCTAAAAAAAATAAATATCGTGGAAAAGTTCTAATAATTTTTTTCAATCATTTCACAAAGTGAAACTCATTTATTATATTGATTCATTACACATTATATTATATTGAATTTCTATTATACACAGTGTATTTTTCCCCACTTGAATACTACTACTGTACTTGCATTCCCTGTTCTATTTCAATCTAGAGAAACACTCCTCTCAAAAACTACAAGCATTCACTTTTCAAATCCCTCAGCGACCGGGGTCATCAGCATATCCCTTGTTATTCATTCATTTTTCAAACATCCACTATCATCAGAAAGTTTGCTTTCATGCCAAGCACGCAACTTTCCTCCCCTCCATTGCACATCGTCTAACCCATACGTACATATATGATTGTCTGTCTACAATTATATACCCCAACACCCCACCATCACTACTAACAAAGTTTACACATTCATTCAACCTTTATTTATACAGGTTAATCCCAATGAGCCACGGGGACTCATTTACAAGAGAGACCACATGCCACAGTTTCAGTTAAAATACGATTGTTTTAAAGCAACAGTACTGTAGCTCATCATTTTCTATCTGGAAACCCTGATGTCCACAAGTACTTTATGCTCTAGAAACTCAAACATCCATTATGTTTCTGTTTTTTTGTTTGTTTTTCACAATCCTGTTGATATTAAACTTTGATTGTGTGGACTTGTGTTGGGGGCAGAGATGGTGTAGGGGCAGGGCAGCCGACTCGGGATCCGAAGGTCCCGGGCTTGATCCCCGTCATTGCACATCTCGTTGTGTCTCTGAGCAAGACACCTTATCCCCACGTGCTCCCTGGGCACTTTCCACAGCTGATGAGTTAAATGCAGAGAGCCAATTTTGCCATTGTATGGGAACATACAATGATGACCATACATACACATTATTAAAAAGTTACATGACAAGAAAAAAAGTGAACTGTGTCA